TCAGTGTGGAGCGGACTACGGTCCAGCCACCGCCTTGTGTGCGCTTGATTCCCCAAATACAGTGTGCTTGTGTTTGCCTGTGAAGGAGTTTGGGCCGGCTCCGTTGATGAAACGTGGTTCCCATCCGCATGCCTCCCGGTCTTATACCTTCGGGTTTACACTGGATATGGGGTGTGTGGTTGGAGCTGTGGGTGGTGCAGCGCAAGCCATCCATGGTCCCTCTGTAGGCGCAGGCGTCCTGTGGCTTGCCACAGTGACAAGTAAATCCGAAACCGGATGCCGCCAACCATATATATATATATATATATATATATATATATATATATATATATATATATATATATATATATATATATATGGCCCAGGGAAACACGGAGCCAACAAAGGAAACGGAAAACGATGGAAGGTGCAGTTTTCGTTAAAAATGGATATCACACAGGAAAATGCAGGATTTGTCAGACGGCGCGATACTCTTCGCTTGACAAATCGGACGTAAGGATGTTCTAGTGGGTGGTAATCGATAAAGATTAAATCCGAAGGATGGGCAGAGATAAAGAGATCTCTTCAAATTAAATCGTGAGCATAAACCTGGAGTGGGCATCAAAATTCTGAGATGCGATTTCAAAGCGATTGAAAGGATAAAAACAATGGCGCCGCACGGTAAACACCTATTGTATTACCGTTGGAGTTCTATCAACTACAGCTGCTTTCTAACAGAACCCTTCGCACTCATTATAGACGGCTCCATTTCAGACCATGGTGCCCCGTTTACCTGAAGGAATTAAACTTCCTTACCATAGGGTGCATAGGTCAGCAGGCTGCACTTGCAAGTACACTGGACACATTCAGTGAAGATGTGTTGTGATTTTTTGTAGATTCGTTGCAGTTGGACACACACACACATCCAAAAAAGCGCTGGACGGCCGTTTCGTCTAATTGAGACTCGTCAGTAGCGCGCACCCGCCGAATGCTGCCGGGTTCGAACCCACGACCATACTCCTGCGAGTCAGCGACTTATGTCACTGAGCCATGGGCGACGGCAGCGGACCGCCATGACTGATATCGGCGGGTGCGCGCTACTGACGAGTCCCAATAGGACGAAACGGCCGTCTAGCGCTTTCCTGGATGTGTGGTGGCTGTCTGCCTGTGTCTAACTGTGAGGAATCTACACAAAGCTTAATAAATCCCTCTACTACTTAAAAATGTGCGTTGTGTGTGCGAAACTAGGATTAATGACTTCACGTGGCTGTTGGAAACTATGCCGAACCTGTTCACTGGAATGTGCACGCATCTGCAGATGTTGATGCAACAACCACTGGAAGGGGCATCCCTCTTAGCTCCAAGGCTGAGTCATCGTTGGTTCGCTGGATCCCCATGTGCAGCAGTCCATATGAGAAACGATTCCTAGATACCAAGAAGCCAAAGGGTCTACATGAAAGCTAAACACTATACGGTGAGCAGATGGCAGAAACAAATGAGACACATTGTTAAGAGGGGCACCTCCTAGCGAATGGATCGGTGAACCCAAATGATGTGCACGGCTTGACGCTAACCGCGTGCGTCCGTCTGCCCAAATTATTGATTGAAAATTTGGATTATAGGTTCACGTGACCTGGAGTGCCTCGCAAGTCCGATTGTTGCAGTGTGAGACACTGTTACGCAAATAAGCATCTTATTACATAGCTCAGTTTTTCTGTTTTCGTCTGACCTAACAACTCGCGACAGAGGTAACGGTTGGATTGGAGACGACGAACTATGTCGTTTTTAGTGGAGAGACTTACCGCACTACTTCAACATCAACAGAAGCAACTTGAAGGAAGCCAGACACGATTGCTCGAAAATATCTTTCAGCGTTTTGCGATTCAAGCCAGACCAACCAATGAAAAGTAGCAATCATCAGCGGATGCGATTGCGAACAGCATTTGTGAGTTTCAATATGACCCGGATGCCGGCCTAACCTTCGAATCTTGGTTCAGAAGATACGAAGACGTTTTCCGGTTCGAATTCACTGATGCTGACGACGGATGGAAGTGCAGACTGCTTTTGCGGAAGCTGGAAACCAAGGAGCATGACAAGTTTCTCAAGTTTATTTGGCCAAAATACCCCAAAGATTTTACCTTTAACCAACTTGTATCTCTGCTAAATGACATTTTTAGTGAACAGTCTTCCTTATTCAGTGCCGATACAGCTGCATGAAGCTCATTAAGTGCGCGTCAGACGATTTCGTAACTTACGCCAGTACGGTCAATCGTCATTGAGAGCATTCCAGGCTAAAAGAAATGTCAGATGACTGATTCAAGACCTTCCTTTTCGTTTGTGGTCTCCAAGCACCCGAGGATGCCGAAATACGCATGAGACTGCTTAATAAAATTGAGCAGGACCCATCCATAAACCTCATGTCCATCACTTTCGAATGCCAGAGGTTAATCAACTTGAAGCCAAACACGAACATGATTGCCCAAGACGCAGTCCATGTCCGGTGGATGTGTTGGCGGTATCAAACCAGCGCGGGAGTACAGCGACGGTCCAAAACTCACAGAAGTCAAACAGACCACCACCCTCATGCTGGCAATGTGGCGAATGGCACTTCGTCAAATTCTGCCCGTTCAAGAAGCATCTTCGTCAGAAATGTAACAAACGGGGGAAAAGGAAAATCAATGCCATGCAACCATTTTCAACAAGAACACACATGACCTTTCTGTGACCGGATAAAGGATCGCGTATTGTGATAATGAACAGATCTGACTGCATCCAAAAGCGCAAAGGAAACCACAGATCTTTTTGCCACATGGATACATCGCCGAGTAACAATGAAGGCAGTTGAATCCGACTGAGCCACAGACACCGAGAAGGTAGGGTGCAACAAAATTGCACAGCGTAGACTGCGCCCGATTAGTTGTAGGAACAACCCTGTATCAAGTTGTCCAGTGGCTGACGAAACTTAGGTCCAGTGCGTAAACCCCTGGCTACGCATCGACTGAAAGGTTTCGCTGAACTGAACAATAAACTGAAACAATCGTGACATAGATTCCCTGCTCACAACCGTGGCTCGAGGATAATGGTTCGCCGCAATTCGTACAGCGTGGTTCAGACAATTGTCATTCGCAAGGTTGTCAAACCCTACATTTAATTTTAATACAGAACTTGTAGTAGGTCCGTTCATGTGATTTAATTATAGTGATACTATGGTCCTGCACTGTGAAGCACTGGTCGATATAAGTTTTGGGCACAACATGGTGGCACAATAAAAACCCCTAACAAAATCCACTGGAATTGGGTCTACAAAGCGTGGTATCGTCAAAAGGCGTTCAAACGATTTCTTCCCACATAACTCGATGACGAGTGCCCGAAGACAATCGATAAGGTTAGATAGTTTGACTGCTGCATTAACTGCTAGGGGCGGGTGACTAATGGAAGTAGCTCCCGTAAAACATACACAGAATTACCATTATAAAACAAAAACATTTGTAAGCAGACAGTTATCCCATTACTTTATGGGTAGTTCACAAGAGCACAGGTAGCACCGTTTACCTCCACAGCAGTAACGCCTGCTGGTTTATCAGACAAGTTCAGGTCTTTGACCGACAATACGGAATATTTCTCGTGTCACGGGCAGCAGTGTATCTCCAACAAGAAGGTAATGATAGGATTAGTTCGATAGACCAACAAAGGAAACTAATTTATTGGAGAATGAATCGCGCTACGGGAGTTACCTTGTAGGTCGCTGTCACTCAGGGCATGGTAGCGTAAGCAGCTGACGTCGAGAGGGATCAAGGGCTCGGTACTTGGTCGAGCCGGGAGGTACGCACTACTGACCAATCACACAATGGGAACGAAATAACCGTTTAATGCCTTTCCGAGTGTATGAAAGCTGATGGGAAGGGTCTGCAATAAAGTAAAAAACAGTTCCCTACTCGCAAAAGAATGAATAAGTCGGGTTGAGCCAAATATGTGCTAAGCATCCCCGTTCAAGGAGAGCAATCCTTTTTTGTCTGCCAGATGTCGAGCAGCATAAGGGCCGAGAAAGCAAATACTGACCTGCCAGTGGGAAGTGAAGGTACTGACCGCTAAAGTGGGTGCGTTGTGTCCTTACGATTCAATTTGTGCTCGGCTCAGAATGCACTATGGAAGATGGCTCGGAACCGCTCCCTTGATGTGTCTGCTGTCGCCGTCTAATCGGATAACCGGTTTAAAAGCGTCTATAGTGTTGAGCTATGTGATGGATAACGGCGACCAAAAAGCAAAGCAGTGAGAGTCACAAGGATGGTGCCTCGCCGATCACTCCTTCTTCATGCATGCTGACCAGATGTTCGTGTTAGCAAGGTGTGAGCGTTTTGCTCAAGAATGCTCACTTAGGGCGTTGAGGTTCTATACTAGACTTCCCTCACTTGCACATCCTATGCGTTCTGGTGTATCGCTAATGCTGTTGATGGTGCCGAATGTAGTTTATGTTCCCTTTACAGTATAGAGATAACAATCCATCAACGGCCCAACAAATTACAGGTGGTGAATAATCATCGATAAATATAAGTGATGCGCAGATGACTGTTTCTTGAAAAAGATAAATGATGGTGTACTCCTTCTGAGCAGAGCAGCTGAACATGTCCTATACGGCCACAGGTTGTAAGATCAGCAGTGTAAACATAGGTACTGCAAGCGGTATCCCAGGGCAACCGGATGAATGAAATCAGCGTGCTAAGCGAGGAAAATAATGAATACGATACTTAGGGAGAAATATACGTTCAATGCAGATAAGAGAGCAAACTAGAGTAGATACGATGTCCCGCCGGATCACAGTTGAACATTATTGATAGTAGTATCTGCCTTTTAGGTATAAATAATCGAAACAGCAAATGAACACCAGCTGAAGACGGCTCCAAGTCCCATCAAGGACTTCACAACTCATCCACTAAGCCTGAACAGCCGCATCACAATGAAACTGAAAAACGAACCAGTTGCAGTGGCAAATGTACTTCGGTAATATTGTACACATTGTACAGTCACGAGCGAAGCTGCCGCTCTAGACTGAGAGTTTTGGTCAGCGAGGAGTTCATTTCAATTCCGACAGTCTTGGCAAGCTTTGGATGAAAGGGCGGAAGATGAATTGAGATGAAGATGACTCCACATACCTCGGACATTTCCATGATAGTTTCCAGTCGACAGCTGCCGCAACCCTCATGAGCAATCGGTCCAAGAACACCGTCCGGGTACACTACAACCGACAGCCGTGAGAGCGAGCACGCTTCTTCCTCCTTTGAGGCGTCCACAATATGTGAATTCCCCACCTAGAATAATCGGGAATTCACATCAGTGGTCGACAAATACGGAAACGCAAGATGTGTGGTTTATTTATATTTTTGAAGAATGTGATTAAGTCTGATGCTCGCAAGCCGAAGGTAATCTGAATAAATGAAAGCTAACGGGTGTTTGTGCGTAGCTTGAGCGCAGAACGATCCAATCTATCGGCTTGGATAAAATATCATGAATGTAGCATCAACTTTTACCGTCAAGCCACAGCACGAGAGACATGCCGCACAAAGGTTTCCAAATAAGTCCAAAAAACAGCGAATGGTCAAAGCATTGGTAGCTATCGTGTAACAAAGGCAAGTAGTGCCATCGTACTTGAAGCTAAAAGCAGTCAACGAAAACTCACCTTATGTACCGTAACGAAGAGTGGCAGGCGCTCATTCTCAAAGCGGAATATAGAACCTTTCATATCTACCGAGGGCTGAGAAGTGGGATGTCTAGAGCTGAGAGAGTTGCTATGAAAACAGTAGCAGTGGACCGAGAAATTAAAACGGCTTACGTGAAATCAAGCAGAGCAGCTTTAATTACGATGGATGCGGCATCCAAGAAGTTGCCCCCACCTTCTAGAAGCTAAGAAGATTATGCATCGATACGAGGCACGTTACCAACAGATCGATATACACTATCCAGCATTGCCTGCCGGGTTGTATACAAAGTTTTCGCAAATCCAATAAGTCCGCCGAGTAGGCAGAGAGGAGGACCATTTTTAAATTCTCCGAAAGTTCGCTTGCGCTCCGATCCGTCGAAACATACGTTGCTGTAGGATAACTGAAAGGTATGCAAAGGATTCGACATCAAAGACGATTTCGTTGGCAGGATCAGTCCAAAAATTCAAATTCTGGTATGACAAATGCTAATCAAGCCCAATCATCCGATTAGCGTCAGGTAAACATGATCTGATGCCTGGCTACCTCGCGTCGGGAAAGCGAGTGAGAAATGGCAGCCTGATAAGTGAAACCTGGAGAAAGGATGTCGTGTCACTGGCTTGGTGTGAGCTAATAAACATAGACGGCAAGAAAACGTAATCAACCGGAGCGTAAATCGCGGGCATGGGATAGAGATAAGAGAACATGAGTTGTAAGAGCACAAGCTGGGAAATCTGCTACGTTATCGTTGTTAACAGCACGCGACTGTGCGGTGGTAATGCACCGTTGCAATACAACGCCAGTGCTCCGGGTTCGTATAATACTAGTGACGAAGTCGTGGCGCCGGTGGTTGGCAGGGTGCATTTACAGAGGTGAGTATCAATGTGTTCGCAAAAAGCCATGGGACGGATGAGCAGTATGTATGTATGTATGTATTCTCAACAGTCTATTAGCTAGACAAAGAGCCAGCCTAAAACCATGGAGATAAGGAGATAAGCAAGATTCATGGCGTCATAATCATCGTGGCATGCTAGTTGAAGGTGAGCAACACACTTCAACTAATATGCCGCAGGAAGAATGGAACATTTTGATAAAAAGCAGAACAAACATTTTTAGTTTGTTTTTCACACGCCGCTTTTGTTCTTTTTTTGTCATTTTAATGTTTGTAGAATTAAACATGTGAATCAATACAATAATGTACACAATTCTTCCACTGATTCCGGTTGCGGGCCATATCTTCAAGAGTGCTAAGCCATTGGCACTCCTCATCTTTGGGTCCCCATCCTGGAAGACGTACGGATCCTACAGCGGCTAGACACGACGTCAGCGATTTCATGTGCTGCCGCCAAGTGGAAGGCTGACCACCACGCGGTCGCCTCCAGCCAGGTCCTTGACGAGCGAATAGAGCGCGACGCGGTAGACGCTCAGGTGTCATGCGTAGAACGTGACCGAGCCATCTCAACTGGCGCAACAAAACCAGTTTGTTGAAGGGAATACTCGCATTCCCCAAGACGCGACGTCGAACGTCATTACTATTTACTCGATGTTGCCACCAAACACGCGCGATCCTCCTTAAGCAACCGCTATCGAACGCAGAAAGACGACGCATGTCTTCCACGCGAAGCGGCCAGGACTCGCAGCGTTACCGGCAAATGCACATGCGCGACCAATGTCGGGCGTAAACTCAATGGAATAGGAACAAGAACCACGAAGCTGGCCAACACTGCGAATTTGCACAGGATACCCAAGTGGAGGTGAAAATATTTGGGAGGAGTGTCGAAGCAAAGACATTGAGAGGGTAACGTACACCACAGGTGGGTGCGCTTATTATGTGAGAATCTGACCAGCTAGGAATCACAGCGTTTGTAAACTTGTAGTGATTGATTAATCGCCCATGCTGAGCAATGCTTTTGGAGACCTGGAGGTCAACTCCTACCAGAATGTTCATAGGTTATAGATAAGACCACTCGCTACTAGGAACTTTGTTCCTCAGTTGGTAAGGCCAGCAGCTCAGATATAGTTTCGCATGTCATGCATACGAAATCGTCAATGCTTCTTAAAATTCATATGGCATAAACGGGGTTAATTCCGGTCCCATGGGTAACCGTGATCGCTTGTTACAACCGAATTTCCATGATTCACTACCTTCAGGCACTAGAAACACTTGTGTGCAAACTAGGTTCCCCGAATCCCAGAGTGAAGGACGACAACTGACTACATTGCCATCAGTGTCGGCGGTGGCCAAGTGGTCCGCACGTTTGCTTTGCAACCATAAGGTCACCGGTTTGAATCCGCGTAGGGGTGGGCTTCCTCGCGGTATACGGCCCGCGCGCGACTGCTGGTGGTTGTGCGGCAGCGAATCGCCGTTACGGCGTACAGCTGACATTATTAGTTTCCGGTAAGTTGTTCAGGTTTGGAAGCTCTGGTAGTGTTTCAACCAACTCACAAGCATGACTCACTTTCTTCAAACTTATCCATACTTCGCATCGTGTGTCACTTTGGTACAAAATGGCTATCCTATTGGTTGCATGGAGTACGAGGGATAAACGAAAATGTGTCAACATTGATAGACCCTTTTCTCCTACTCCACCTGTTTCTATTACTTAACTCCCGATTCAAATGATCGACCCACTTTCCATACTCCATAGAAAAGTTGTAGCTGCAGTACTGAGGTTACAGTAAAAATTCCGTACTTTGACCACTCAAGGGACTGGACTAAAGTGGTCAACATATAGGGGCAGTCAACATATGGAGATTCCATACGAAAACAGCGCAACTTACTTTCCAATTGTGAGTAGTACGGTATACACAATATTTTCACTTACACCCTGTTTCTAACAATAAGAGCTCTTATCCAACGTCAAACAGTTAAAGCATACAGTAGTATAATAAAACAAAACGCAGGACTTTCCTCAAAGCAAAGTTATCATTTGATTAAAAAGATCTCTCCTTGTCTGCTATTTTCGCTTAGCAAAAGTAAAGGAAAAAATCGCTCACAACAAAGACTGTATTACTTAGCATGCTTGGATATTTTCCCGTAGGAAATGACTTCAGTTGTATTAAAGAATGCTTGACATCAATTGCCTTTGTATTTACCTTGGTGCTATGTCGTTCTCACTCAGTTTCTCTTCGTTAGGTGCTCCTTGTCCGTTTCCATTAGGATGCACCGCAATTAGCATCTCTTGGAAAATAGCATCTGGTTCAGATTGCTAAGCCATAATCCATTTCAATAAACTCTTGGTACTCTATTCCATATAAGTCTGTCATGGGGGATGCAATGTTTAGTAAGGCGACAGCATTTTGCTTGACAGTTTGGGCGGATCCAGTCTATTTGTAGCACTTCTGTGTTGTCTCTGGTCGAACTTTGTGTTTAGCGGAAGTTGTTTAAAGCACATCCTAAACATCAAGTAACGCAGTCGATGAAGCTTTTGCTGCATGCCGATCACTGGTATGCATTTTTGGTATAACCTATTACGTGAGTTTGGCTCAGTAGTGCGTTTTGGATATTTCGGTGATTTCTTGAGGACACACTTGCGGCAAAATAGCTGAGGTGATTTCTACCTGCAGCTAACGTGTATAATGATGATGACGATGACGATTGGGGACACACCGTGCGAGATAAACACCCATTCACGTAAAAACTAAGAGGTGTAGCAAAAACGAGCATGCACATGCACTGACAGGGAACATACTGCATCATCAAACGTCTGTGGAGCCGTAAAGTGAGTGATTGTGGGTCAGGGGAATTGCACACATTACCAAACCCCGCTACATACACATAATCATTTTTATAAACGAGTTGCTCGGTGACTATTGCACAGTAAACCCTCCCACAGTCAAGATATAGTGGCGAACTTAACAATGACTGTTAAGGCCCAAGTGATCAAAGTACAAGTTACAGAGGTAGCCGATACTACAGAGGTCCAATATATAGGGTTTACATGGTGAAAGTTGAAGCTATGAAAAAGCGATCAACTATGAGAGATATTTTAGTATCATTGTACTTCATATCCAGTTACACCCCAAGAGTAGTTAAAGGCCTCCTGATACCAACAACACCTTATCTGGCCACGGTGCCCGGTTATTCTGGAAGCATCCCACTCCCGCACTGAAAGTCACACAAGCCAATAGATTGCGTTCGCACATACGCGATTGTCGAACTGACCGTGCCCGGGAATGCTGACGCAGCAACCATGGTTCAAGCTAGAGTGGGCATTGTTCTCAGTTACAGGGTCGAATTCCGAATGGTTGCTTGAACAGCATTTGACTAACAACAGGTACTGATCCACACTAGATGCTATCTGTTTGTGATTGACCCCATATCTCAACCTATACATTTCTCGACCATGTACAGTGTGCCATATGAAACGGATGCTCACGAGGAGATGCTAGATATCTCCGGGACGATGTTCATCCGTTACTGTTGGCTCAGCTGGCATGGTTGTGATGTGACTTCTTTTTACTTTCTCTCGTATAATGTGTCACAGCAGTAAAGATTTCTGCAAACCAAATAAAGTGTAGATAATGAAGACCCCCATTAGGGCGTGTAAATGTGTATAGTGCTTCCCTCTCCCAACAGTGCGATGATCCACGACTGTACTAAGCAGGTAGAAGTAACCAAACTAGAACTTGAACCACAAGTGACAAAATTGTCATCTGCGGAGTCTTTAGGAATACACCACCGAGCATCGAGGACAACTGTCGTCACATGAGATAGGCAGTGGAACGCAATGTCAGCAGCGAGTATCACATAACATTTATCTGCTTCAGAGACGATTCTTGTGATCCAATTAAATAAAGTTCACCGCAAACTAGATCAAGGCTAATATTGAGACTGCATGTCGTAATCCATCCATAGTATAGCTTTTTCAAGCAGTCCAACAATGACAGGTGTATTCTCCATCAATCGTTTACGTGCTCCGGAGTCATTCAATCGACAGGACTAGGGTCCATGCTGGGATCTCTGATCAATGGACTAGAGAATGACAGATATAAAAATATTTCAATGCGATAACGTGCATTGACGTTCAAGGTAGGTAGGCTACAGTGAATTGGTACACGGCAACTGACTCATGTGCACGAAATACACAGGAACATGTCATCAGTGTAGCAGCCACTTTGGGTGCATCAATCAGGGGCAAGCAAGCCGAAACATCATGTACTGCGTGTAAGCGTTGTAATATACCACTTCATCCACGTTTAAACATAAATAACTTAAGACTCACCATTCCACATTAATTTCAATGCGTCCATCGTTTGGCCTCGTCAGAAGCGTTTTGCCCACCTCTACTTTGACACAACCCATCAGGTAAGTTTCACCCTGTAATGCAGAAGGGTAGGTCAGGAGAGTAAATAGAACAAATTTACCACACGAACACTAGCTGAACCTCCTGCATGGCTGAGGATACCTGTTTCCAACTCAAGTGGCCTGTATTCATTCGGTGCACGGCCATCGGTACGACAACCAAGCTAGTAAATGTGGAAAGAGGTGGAAAGTTGTGACTTACTTCGGCTCCTTGGATGATGTAGAACCTCTCGAGGTCGCTCAAAAGCACGGTATCCATCTAGCAAACAAAGAGTGGCGCGATGAGGACATAAAGGGTCATCGAGCAGATGAACGTTAAGAAGCAGTGGAAAGATACGCTACGCTACACATAAGACTCATGCATCCTTTAACTTTGAAATATGAGGATTCATATACCGTTGTGCGAATCAAATTACACTTATGTAGGACCAGTCTGGAAAATAGGATAGAAGTAGCCAAATTAGTGATGCAGGTGTCAGGCGCAGTTTGAGGCGCGGATCGGGCCCCAGTGCGACACAAGAAAAAATACTGATTTATAAGTACCAGAAACTAAGATAAACGAAGGAACACCCGTACTGTGCGTCGAGGCGATATAAACATGGAGATCTCAAAGGCTGAACTGATGGCAATACGCTAGCGAATTGTATTACTAATCACGGAAATGAGAAAAAAGGAAGATGTAATCTGTAAACGAAGCGCCATGGGTAACCACGGCACTGGAACCTATGCAACACCGTAGGTTCATCAACAGCTGCCAACAGTGTGGACGTAAGGTAGCAACCATGTAGCAACCATGCAAACTTTGCCGATGGCTCGGATGGGAGATAACAGCAAACACACCATTAATTGGGAATACGAACTAAGCACGAAGTGCATGTGCCCAAGCCTAGATGATGAGATGTATTAACAGCATCTCATGGGCATTGACTTAATTTGCAACTGGTAGACCAACGAGTGTCTGCAGGAGCCTCACGTCACTCCACGTTAGGTGAACTGATAAGTGGGCACACGTACGTATGCGCAATCAAACACACCTGTAGTGACCATGACATTTTACTCCATCAAACATCACATTCAGACTTGTACACATTTTGTTTTACTTTGCACCCGTCCAAAGCCTATATATACTGGACTGCGATTTTGAACCAGGTCCGCCATCTTGCCCGCGCGTTGCCGGCTGTTGCGCTCCTACGTGGTGTTACTCATTGCTTCACCATTTTCTCCCACTGTCCTCAAGCTATATTTACATAGCTATTGTACATAGCTATTTTCTCAAGACATTCTTTATATCTTGCCGTCTTCTGTCTTACTGGGCTACGGTTTTCTTGTGTAGCATTCGCCAAGGCGCTACATAATTGGTGACCCCAATCGCATTCCGGTGAGTTCGTTCCATTTCTTTGGTTTTTCCACGCAAACCATGACCTCAGTTTCTAAAAAGTGTGAGGACCCACAGCCTGTGCAAGCGGTATCTCTCGTAGTTCCACCCTTTATTGAAAAGGATCCCGTTTTGTGGTTCATGATTTTAGAAGCTGAATTTACTTCTAAGCATGTTACCAATGACTCTGCAAAGTTTAATCACTTGCTAACACGCCTGCCGACTGATATTACTTTAGCACTACGTGATCTTATCATTACATCTTGTCCTCCTGACCGCTATAATTCTCTCAAGAACGCGGTAATAAAGCGTGTTACTCTCTCATTGAAGTCCCGCCTGCATAAACTTTTTACTGGTCTACAGCTAGGTTCTAGTAAGCCATCCGCGCTATTGCTAGAGATGCGTGGTCTTCTTCAAGGATTGCATATGGACGAGTCGCTGCTTCGAGAGTTATGGCTTCAGCGTTTGCCTGAAAACGTACAAGCTATGCTATCGCTTGCGAAATCGCAGCCTTTGTCAGAAGTTGCAGATATTGCTGATGACATGATGGATCGTTTCACCGGACCACCGTGTCCGTCGTCTAGTTCTCTTCGCTCACCTGACGTAGGTTTTACTGTTGACCCTTCGGTCCAAACCATCGGCACCGCTACTCCACCTTCGACTGGTGAGCTCTTAGCAGAGATAGCCGCACTACGGCAAGAAGTTCAAAGCTTAAAGTTACATCGGCACCAACGGGATTCTCCATCCCGTTCCCCTAGCCCATCTCGAAGACGAACACGACGTCCAATTTGCCGTTATCACACACGTTTTGGAAGGTCCGCTAGAAATTGTATAAAACCATGCTCATTTCCCGTAACGAGAAAAAGGACAGGCCGACACGTATTGGCGACGAACGCCGTCGGCCGAAGTCGTCCAAATCGCCTCTTCAATATCGTTGACAGGAACACCGGGATCATGTTCTTGGTTGATACCGGGGCGGAAGTTAGCGTGATCCCACCGGTTCCAGGCGACGCGACTAAGCCACAGACAACCAACTTGCGTGCCGCGAACGGCACTGCTATCCGAGTTTTCGGTCAGCGCTCTCTTACCATTGACCTCGGACTGCGACGTTCCTTTCGATGGATTTTCACCATCGCTGCTGTTCCGTTTGCTATATTGGGTATCGACTTCCTTCAACACTTCGATCTTCTCGTCGATACGCGTCATCGCAAACTCGTTGACAAAAAGACCCAGCGTTTCACATGTGGAGTTCGCACATCTTGTGTTTCTGTCACTCCCATTTACATTCAGCCCGAAGCTGATAAGGAATTTTTAGATCTGTTCAGACAGTTTCCGCAGCTGGTGCACTCAGCTGAGACTACGCTTCCGGTCGCATCTAGCGTTACGCACCATATACGAACCCGTGGCCCACCGGTTTCTGCACGGCCACGACGTCTCGCCCCTGATAAGCTAAAAGCCGCTAAGGCGGAATTCGAGCACATGCTCGAACTTGGTATCATCCGTCCTTCCGAAAGTCAGTGGGCCTCACCTCTCCACATGGTGCCCAAGAAAGGCGGCGACTGGCGGCCCTGCGGAGACTACCGGGCGCTGAACAAGTGCACAGTTGCAGATAGGTACCCTATACCGCACATCCAGGACCTTACAAGTAGTCTCGGTGGTAAGTCAGTGTTTAGTAAGATAGACCTGACGCGAGCATATCACCAGATTCCTGTAGAGGACTGCGATATCCCCAAAACAGCAGTTATAACACCCTTTGGTTTATTCGAGTTCATTCGAATGCCTTTCGGGTTAAGGAACGCTGCTCAAACATTCCAGCGGTGCATCCATGACGTTACTCGTGGTCTGGACTTCGCATATCCTTACGTGGATGACATCCTAGTAGCTAGCGCCTCTAAGTCGCAACACTTAGAGCATCTGCGTACTCTATTCCAACCCCTATCTGATCGAGGCGTTACCTTGAACCCTGGCAAGTGCGAACTAGGAAAATCGTCGATCGAGTTCCCAGCTCACCGCATCTCAGCTACAGGTATTGAACCACTGTCACAAAAGGTAACCGCCATCAAAGATTTCCCTGAACCTACATCGTTTAAACAGCTTAAACGTTTCCTTGGGATAGTTAACTACTATAGATGCTTTATTCCGTGTTGTGCTAGGATAATGCAGACGTTGACTGATTTGCTTCGGGGCAATCAACGTTCGTTTGTTTTTACCAAGTCCGCGCGATTAGCCTTCTCAAACCTTAAAGACGCAATCGCTAATGCTGCTCTCTTAGCACATCCCGTACCATCTGCTCCGATTTCGCTCGTCCCTGATGCCTCAGACGAGGCCGTTGGTGCTGTTCTTCAGCAGGCTGTCGACAATACCTGGCAACCTTTGGGTTTCTTTTCGAAACGGTTGCAGCCAGCGGAGACACGTTACAGCACCTTCGGGAAAGAACTTCTGGCAGTTTACCTCGCCATCCGTCATTTTCGTCCTTTTCTAGAGGGCAGAAGCTTTACCGTCTTTACTGACCACAAACCTTTAGTTTACGCCCTGGACTCGTCCTCCGACCGATACTCTCCGAGAGAGATACGCCACCTGGACTATGTCTCACAGTTTACGTCAGACATACGGCACGTCTCGGGTGTGCAGAACTCCGTCGCTCATGCTCTTTCTCGCGTCAGCTCCATCCCGTCCGCTGAAGGTATCGATCTAACGGCAATGGCTGCTGCTCAACAGACCGACCCAGAGCTGGATCAGCTTCGTAATTCTAGCTCCTTACGCATACGACCAGTTCCACTGCCTACTTCGGATGGAACCATACTTTGCGACGTTTCGCAAAATTCACCACGACCAGTGGTCCCCAAAGCTTTCCGACGCACTGTGTTTGACATTCTTCACAGTTTATCACATCCAGGCATTCGTGCCACAGTTAAGCTCGTCACACAACGCTTCGTGTGGCGCAACGTCAACCGGGACGTTAGACAGTGGGCTCGTACGTGCCTTAGTTGTCAACAGTCTAAGGTTCATCGACACACGAAAAGTCCGCTTGGTTCATTTCCACTTCCTGATGCCCGTTTCCACCATATCCATGTTGACCTTGTTGGGTCACGGCCCCCATATAATGGATGCGTTTACTTGCTGACTTGTATAGACCGCTTTACAAGATGGCCTGATGCCATCCCAATGCCAGATTGCTCATCAGACACTGTCGCTCGCGCATTTCTAGAGCGCTGGGTCTCACACTCTGGTTGTCCTGCCGTTGTGACAACTGATCGAGGTTCGCACTTCGCAGGCACATTTGCTCACCTTCTTCAGACCCTCGGCTGCCGTCACATCCAAACGACTGCATTCCGCCCTGCCGCCAAAGCCATGGTTGAGCGTTTTCACCGCCAGCTGAAAGCTGCACTGTGTGCACATGATAACGCAGACTGGTACGAAGCGCTTCCCACCGTTTTACTTGGCTTACGAAATACTGTCAAAACCGACGTTAACGGTGCTCCGGCCGAACTCGTTTATGGCTGCACATTGCATCTCCCTGGACAATTAGTCGTCCCAACCCCGGAGAGGGCATGGAACTACAAGAGCTACATAGCTCGTCTGACGCACCACATGCGTCAGCTGCATCCCGCGAGACCCAGGGAACAACGCACTCCAGTGCACATTCCGAAAGACCTTTCTACATGTTCTCACGTATTTTTACGTGTCGACCAAGTGAGACAGCCTCTCTCCGCACCTTACACAGGTCCATACCGTGTTATTAAACGGTCTTCAAAAACTTTGGTGATTGACCGTGGGGGTAAAAGGGAGACTGTCTCGATAGATCGCGTCAAGCCTGCGTTCATCGATGAACAACAGTTTGTTCCATCATCGACCTTAACGCAATCTACAGAGGCACCTATAACGACGCCCAGCTTTTCAGCTCAACCACAATACCAGTCACCAGATTCGCCTCAAACTAATACCAGTCACGGTAAAAGAGTTCGTAAACCTGTTCGTTTCTCCGATTTTGTCGAATTCATCCACACCTCATGAATTTTTTTCATTTTCTCTCGTTGTTTGTATTATGCATTTCCGTAAATATCTGAATCTGTCTCCCCGAGTTTTTTCCCCCCATCTATCAGGTAAAGTCATGAGGCTGGCACGTTTGGGTCCGTCCGTTCAATGGTTGGCTGTTTCTCAATTGTTTGGTCGTTTGGATGCTTTGGTCTACCCCCAACGCTTTGTCGTCTCGCCCG